GAGATCCTAGCCAGTTTTATGTATATGTATATTTATATAATTGTCTTTTTCAAAAAGTACAGAATGTGCTTCATGTTCCTATTGAAATAAAATTACTTACATGTTATCTTCCATCACAAAAAGCAAAGTCAAAGGATCAGAGGTGATACAAATCCTCACAACTTTTTTTACTGATGCACTGCCTTTTTGATCCACAGACAGCCTCTTGCCTCTCAGATTCCTTTTTTTTTGTTTCTTTTTTAAATCCCAAAAGTTTTTGTATTTTTACACACACTCAAAAAGACAAAACATTAGGAAACGAGAGAGGGTGGCTGACTGAGTGGGTGAAAGTGAGAACACATGCCATCTGCTAAGCCCAAATAAGAGTCATTTTTTCATTTAGGTTTGGGGTGCTGTGATGCAGTCAGTTATGTTCAATTTTGCTGCACTGCTCTCTACTCAGTACTTTTCCTTTTCAAGATCCTAGACCTTGTATAACTTTGTAAACATGTATACAACGAACCATTCAGTGTCTCTCAGTGACTCCTACTTCACATGACTAGTCTGTTAGAATATAGTGGTGATTTTGTTTCACACTGGTTAAAAATGCTAAGGCAAATATACTCATGCAAAGAAGTGAGGCTCTCTCCACATTCTGCCTGTCTGCCAGCCGTCCTGTCTCTTTGCTACTATCTGACCCTCTGTATTTTATCAACTCATTTTATCTGTCAATCATACCTTTCATGACTGTTTTCCAGTAAATGCCTTTAGCCATTTACGGAAATGTTCACCATGTCAAGACGATTTAAGATAGAAGTCTTCTCACAAACTGCTCTGGAGTGGACTGAGTAATAGAGGCTGCTACGTGTTGAATGTGAGGGCTAATTCTGAGGACTGGCACTCATTACACTCTGAAGCTACAAACTACTTTGATCTCAGGCCAGATTGCTCAGGTCTGAGAAGCTGCCTCGGTATGTGTTTTTATACAGTACCCTTTTAAAGTACTCCTAAGCCTTGAACTTTTTAAAATTATATGACAAAGTTAAAAACTGAAATCATTTTGGATCTTAGACCAACACAATGTAGGGTATAACTATCAAATTTAAGGAAAATGTATGTTTTCTAAAAACTGGCAACAAACAGAAAAGTATACTTTGCATCTAATCTGAGGAGCCTTTAATCTGGCAACCCTGAATAAAATACAGGCTGAGTTAATTTGTGTCCAATTCTGTCCATATAATGCAGCTTGTGTGTAAAGGCCTCAGCAACTCATTCAAAAAATAACAATCATCAAAACGTCATGATGCCAAAGGAATAAATCAGAAAAATCAAGTTTAAAGTTGTAAAGTTTAACAAACGGTTGAAGGAATAGTGGAGGATGTTTTGCGAATTTTGAAAAGACTCTCCCTTTAAAAGCACATGCACAACCCTGTACCAGCTCCCGAGAGAGAACGCGTATTATTTTAAAAGTTGCTGTTTGCATCCCTCATAGAATCTTACTTTCCAATTTAAGATTTGCAATTTTTCCACTATGTCAGACTCACAACCGGTAAGTGAAAATGGTGACGAGCACGTAGGACGGCCTTACGTAAATATATTACCAGAATGATTGACAATTAGGAAGACCACTTATTTTGATGGTCCACCCGGAAAAAGAACATCCTCCACTATACCTTTAAGAATTAAAAACAATTTTTCCACGGTGTTGAACATTCAGCTGTGTTCCGTCATCCAAAATAACAGCATAAACAAACCACAATCTTACATGGCTTCCCACTTAAAGACAGGCCAGGTGAGGAGAGTGTTAACGAGAGGCAGCATGATGACTGTGGTGACTTTTCGGGAGCTATAGAAAGCTAGAGCTTAGATGGGTAAATCTGCTCACCAGACAACTTTTAGTCATAGATAAAACAGTCATGTGGCACTTTTGGCAGAGTGAAACAAAAACAATGCTACGCTAAAAACAAAGTTATTAATAGTACTTTTTAAATATTTTTAGTGGGGTATTCAATCTTTTCCTTGCTGTGACATGGCTTTGTTTCATGGGATATTCTGAAGTTATCTTAATACCTTTGTGCCTGCAAAAATAATGGACTCATCTGGATTAATATAAAATAAAGAATATACTCTAAAAGGCCACATTGATTAAAGGCATGTGAATATTTTTCCCCTGTCCAGTATATGTATGCATGCATGAGCTCACTTGGAGACTAAGCAGAGGACAAGAATACACTATGGGAGAGGACAAGAATACACTCAAAGTCTAAATTAACCATTTATTAAAGTGATTAGGCTGTGGAGCCGGAGAGACGAATGTTTGAACACACAGGTATCTGTGTACTACTGATGCCAAATTTCACTTGTGTATATAAATATGCGTGTTTCTAAGAGCACTTACTCATGTCTTCGCCCAGAATACATCTGTGCAACGCACAGACCTGCCTTGTATGTGGCCAGTCATTTCTCTCTAACCTTAATCCCTCATCAGGGAAGTATAAGAGCTGAAGTACAGCACCTAATAGCCTTAAATTACAACACTCACAACCCCACCCCCACTAGCTAGCTAATTCTGAGAGCCCATATAACTGTCACCCCACAGCTCGGGCTTCACTGTGGCATAACCACTTTAACATTGGTCCTTTAATAAACTGTTCTGCCACTAATTAATGTCTATGGCCTTTATACAATAAAACCACCACTGTATGTCTGCATCAATTTCAACACTCAACTCCTATACTACACACACTCATTTAAGGCCAAATGGACTTTTTTACCATGGAAAAACATACATTCTAAAGCATTTTGAACAATTTTTAAATCAACTTGCTGGTGCTGAGCTGAAATGAGAACACACCGCGCTTGTTTTCACTTTGGTTTTGTGTTAACTGATTTATGCAAATCTAACAAACAGCCTTTTTTTTTGCCATATTGGGTAACATTGTGGCTGCAGGCAATGCTACTTGCACAAAGTAGAAAGTGAAGCACACTAGCCATTAGGCACCAAAGATATGAACACTTTATCCGTTGGATGACCAGTGCACAAACAGGATGCATTAGCACACAATAAATAGACTGCACGCAGATATATGTATTGATAGTGAGTGCATTATCAGCATTATCATCAACTTTAAGTTCATTCTGTGCTTCATCAGCATAGTTATAGACATGGTAAAGTATGAACACTGAAACACCAAAATACCGGTATAATAAAGATATAGTTTCCTTTACTTAGCCTGTTACAACTATCTTTCTGAACTATTTCTACATATCACATCAAAACTAAAAATAGGTAATTTTTTTATCATTTTCATTCAGTAACCGCATCTACACAGCGACATTATCAATATAACCTGGAAAAACTTGGTTACGTTACATTAAGTAAGTGAAAAAAAATAAATAAATAAAAAATCGTACTAAAATTGCCGGAATCTAGTCACCCGCCAGTCATTTGCCAGAATCTCTAAAAGTTGGATTTCTCAACATCTTTGTGTGTTTAGAAAAATATGTTTTACATTATCGTAACCTTTGTTAGCGATCAGGGTAGAATGTTTCCTTACAAATTTAACCAGTAATAAAAAGCATATGGGTATGCAATAAAATAGAAAGGTAACTTCAAAAAACAATTGTCAGATGAAGATAGAGTAGTTAGAGCTGATGGTTAGAGGTGGAACGTCCTTAATCAGACCAAACACAGGTTTAAATGACATCTAGTCTTGTCTATAAGACAAATACATTCTGGGAAGACTGAGGAGAAAGAAGATAATCCTATTCTGTATCTGGGTTGGAATGTCTAGAATAATAAAATGATAGGATGAACACTAACTAAGGCTCTCCACTGAGGCTCTGGGTTCTCTGGTCCTGTCTCATCAATGTGACAAACTTGTCAAAAAAGACCTACCGATACACATTCAGGAAAATACAGAGAAAGCACACACTTAGGCTCATTCATACGCACATGGGCGCTTGTTTTGCATGAAGCAATGAATTCTGTTTAGACATGCATGAATCTATCGGATATTAATTTAAAAGCTCTTGTATCTACATTGCTTAAACAGAGTTGGTGAGGCAAAAGAGGAAAAAGGCAAAGACGGCAATGAAAATAGGGGAAGAAGTTATGTGAGAAAGCAGTGTAATGATTTAAATTCTTCTACTATCTTTTGCTGAATAAATGACAGAATATCTGTTGCTTTTCAGTCAATTTTAATATAATGGTTAATCTTAATAATTTGGTGAATGGTGGGTAACTCAATTAAAAGAATGCTGATGTATGACAAGGTATAGGAGAGAAATCTTCACAAGGCGCTTTATAGCTTGTTGAGCCCTTATAACTCCTGTTTGCTGGTGAGCAGTGTAACAAAGCATCTGCAGTGTGTTTTTGGAAACGGAGGATGGAGCGGTCAATCAGCCAGTAGGAGGAGAGACCACGCTAGTGACAACGGGAAAAAAGGAGGAGGGAAAGAATGAAAGAGGAAGATGAAGAAAAGGAGGGTGAATGAGCCACCGGGGTTGAGTGAGCAACACAGCAAGAGAGGGAGAGGCAGAGGGAGGAGAGAAAGAGGAAGGGGGGTGTTTTTTGCTGCTGCGACTGTTTCTCCTGTCAGTTGGCTGGTTGCTTGCCGAACAGGAGGTATCACAGAGCAAGACAGAGATACACTGAGGGGATACTGAGGTACAGTCTGGTTTGGTTTTCATCTGTGCAGCTCTGGCAGCTGTAGACACGCTTGTAGCTTGTGGATTTTGGTGCTGGACAGAGATCTGCAAATCCATGGATTATCAGCAGTGAGTATTGCTGACACTCTACTGACACACTCACCATTTTCAGCAAAAAAGTGAACCCACAGTCTTACACTGCAGGGAGTCTGGCTCATTCATTTATGACCCAGGGGTATAAGGGGGCGCCGACCAGTCAGTCTTTGTGTCTTTATGCATTTCTTTGTCCCCATCCTTTCTTTGCTTCTTTTAACAAGCTTGTGTGTGTATCACTGGGAGTGTGACTGATGCTGTTGCTTTTCTTCCAACAGGAGGGATGCTGGAGGCTAATGTGGCTAACATTAGCATGACGGCTAAGCCCAGGGAGCTGGACCTAAGGTCTGCAGCCGTCTCCTGTCAGGATACATCAGCTCGGCCCATGGCCTCCAGGAAGCCACAGGCAAAGCCCTCTGCATTGCCTCAGGCACCTTCACGTCCTTCTGGGTCAGAGCTTAAGGTGTATCGGCCCAACTCTGGATCTATCCCTATACCAATTCCTAATCCATCTGGGCTCCGCAAGCAGCGATCGCTTGGCAACTTGTGTGTGCTCACTGATGCTGAGAAGAAGCTGCACCTGTACCAATCCCCTAGATGGAATGATGATGCAAGCCAACCAGGAGGAGGAACAAACAAACCTGGACAAACCAAGACAGGTCAAGCAGGTGGCGGGAAACCACCACTGTCTCGGACACTCTCAAAGTCAGAACAATCCCTTTTTCAGAGTAAGCCCAAATCTTTCAGCTCTCCAACTTCTACTTCAAATTTGGGTAAGCCAAGTCGAATCCCAGCCCCTGGTAAACCTCGAGGACCTTATGCTGAAGTCAAGCCTATAAGTAAGGCCTCTGAAGTAGGTCCAGCTACAGACTCTGCTGACCAACCTCTTAAAGCAAACTCCAATGGATCTGGGGGTGCTGGGACTAATGGCAAGAAACCAGGGGACAAAGTTAAATCTGGAGCTCAATTATCAGAAGAAAAGAAGGAGAAGAAAGGGACAGATGGAGAGAATGACAAGAGTTTTCTGAAGGTGGACCCTGAGTTAGTTGTGACAGTTCTAGGAGACCTAGAGCAGCTACTCTTCAGTCAGATGCTGGGTAAGTGCATTGCAGTTTTACAATCCTGTCTTCTTCACACCTAAACCTTTGCTTTTACCTCCAACTGAATGAATGAGCTCAGTGGGGTTTCATAGCAGTGCTGAAGTAAGCGTTTCCAGAGAGATCACATTGTTTTGTTGTACAGCATTAGTCGTTTGTCCCAGCCTCAACTGACCCAGTGCCACAGTGAGCTAGATTTGTATTAAACCATCTCAATTTACCTTCCTCATTTTTTTGTTTAGGCTTTAGATTAGCAAATCTACTGACATTGAAGCATTTTCATGGCTTAAGGCAAATATAATGCATTTTTGTTTGTATGCAGAGGTTAGCAGGCATCCTATTCTTTCCTGTGCCCTGGCTCATACCAAAATCAACCATTCGTTAATAAAGGTCGTGTGAGTGAGACTCGCGGGGTGTGTGTTTTCATTCGGTAAATAAAACGGCTGCACATCGAGCCAGGCCCTGGTCTCAGTGGGCCATGTATTTAGCTTCGCAGCACCCCTCCATCAACCCCACCCCTTTTCCGTCCACATCTATTGATCTGCGGGCCACTGACAGATGGTCACTATCCACCCCACTCCAACCTCTACCCCTGTTACCGAGGGCAACGTGTGGGAGGAGAGAGTGGAATTTGAATGTTTGTCTGCATGGGCAGGTAGTTGTCTATCGTGGATATAATCATGTTGCAGTCAGTTGGATGTGCTGTTTTGACTTAAGTCTTAGCTTCTGGTGGTGCGCTGTGAAAATGATGGGTGTGTTCATGACTAATGTGCTGAACAACAACATCTCCCTCATTACTCATTTACAGACACTCTTCGAGGTTGTGTTTGGATATTGCTCATTGTTGTTCACACATCTCTCTCTGAAGGAGATGGTATAAGAACAGTCAAGTCTTCACCAAAAGAAATAAGTATTTATTTGTCATGAAAGCCTCTCCAATCTTCCTCTGCATTTCCGTCCTCTGTCTTCAGCAGCTTGCCTTGTGCAGCAGAGCCCAAAATCCCATTCAAGATGACCTTGCCCTACAGCCCTCCTCGTGTTTGTTCCCTGCATGCCGTGTAGCTGAATACCGTGGTCATGTGTGCGACCTTGCTTTCTCTTTTCATTGGTGACAACCTCATTTAACAACCAAGTGGGCAATTTGTTATATAGATAGAGATAGAGATAGATATATATATAGATATAATATTATTACTGCCAATTTCCTACTTGTCTTTACAATTCCAGTCACCAGAAATAACATTTTTTTCTTTAGGAGACACATTATTTGCGGTTTTAACTCCCAACTGATCTGAGAACAGCTGTTTTACCACTGAGATACCTGTCTTCACATCTCCATAATAAATTACATTGTCCTTCTAAATTGACTGAAAAAACCTCAGGTGAGAAAACTTTAGAGAGAACTGAAGAGTCACGAATGTAATGAATGTGCAATTTGGCCTGATAACAAGCATTGACTGTCTTGGAAAAAAGTGAAAAACGCTCTTGGGACAGTTTAAATTATCTATTTCCAAAGCCTATGGAAATATTTAAGTCGCACTGTTATAATTACACTCATTCTTTAAAATCTTGCACAAAGTGATATTTCACTTGATTCATTCATATTTGAGCAATCCTAATGAATTCTGCCCTTTAAGCAACACTTCCCTGTCCTAAATAAGGAGGTGCCGGACAGGTCTGTCATAATTCTTCCCTTTATGATTCTGTTTCAGTTTCTTTTTGAGTTTTTAGTTACAATTTGATTAATTTGTTGTTATATTCAAGCAGTGTTGTGGTTTTTGAGTTAACCTCTGTTGCCCCTTTGTGCCAGTCACCTTTCACCTATCTCCCTTCCAGGTAATACTACCCACACCTGCTCCCTCTCAGCTGATTAGCCCATTCTTTGCTCTGTCTCCCATTTATACACCTCCTCTGCAGTTGCTCATTGCTTCACTCCTCATTTGTGTTTCTCCCCAGCATCTCCTGGTTTTGGTTTATTCTTTAGTGTTCCTGGATTTGTCAACTCTGCATTTGGGTCCTCAACTTACTTCCGCTAAACCTGACAGGTCTTGGTAGAGTTGTCATTACTATCCCCTTCAGTAAACACCTACTCTACCTTGAAAGTGGTGAGCAAGCCAAGTAAAAATGTCTGCGTTCTCTGATTGGTTATTGGAGGTAGAGCAATCATTTGTGCTCAAAGTTGAGACAAGGTGACTTATTTCGTCCCTTCATTAGCACAAAGACAGCGACTGCTCATGTATTAAGCTAGTGTCAAAGACTGCTTTTGCTGTTTTCAGCCTTCCTAAAACAAAATTTTGATTTCCAGAACAGGTGTAACAGGGTAATGCCAGGAAATGGGCAGCCCACAAAGAGTATAAGTGGGGCTGGACAATATGAACAAAACTTATATCGCAATACATTTTGGTTGATAGGATATAGTTATGATACCAATATAGAAAAAAATTTAAACCTCAGAAAGACTGTCAAGGATGCCCACAACAGGAGCCTGTACAAACATATGACAATTAGTTTAGCAAGTTTATAAACCCTTCTAATAAAACAGTTTAGAAATATTTGCTTAAACAACCTGGAAAATCAGTAAGGGAAAAATCCATTCACAAAATCTTGGTTTAAAACATCCAAGGTATTCATTTCCATACAAACAAACAAACCTTTCAAAATGTTGACTGATGAGCTCTGTGTCCCGATCCCCATGTTGGCAGTCCAGATACACTTAATACTTTTTAATGTGAGATAAGTTGTTCTTCACCATTAAATGCATCAAATTCTGCTCAACAGCCAATTGTTTCAGATAAGATGAACACTGAAGGATTCTCATTGCTCCGCATCTTCCTTGGATTCTTTTCTGTTAATGTTTTAAACTAGTTTTTTCAGAGACATGGTGTCAGTTAATGGACTTCAGTCATCCCATTAAAAGGGCAACCAAGTGAACTGATTGATTTTATTACCTTAACCAGCTGGCAATTACACAATAAACATGTTCTATCAAAGGAAAAGTAATTCAGAACAGAAAATACTGCTAGGCTTATTATTTGTTTAGCCATTTTTTCCCCTTAAAATTAGCAATAATAGTATCAACTAAAACTCCCTCTGTGAAATAGTAAGCCAAGTCTGCTCCTCTGATATGGAGGATTGGGGTTCAAATCCCCATTGTGGAAGGAAAAGCGCTTCCTGTAAAAACTGCCATGTCTACATCCAAGCTATAATTACTTTCTGTGTTGACCACTTAAGGAAGGGCTAAAGGGACTCGCATAGCAACAGTACAAAAAGTTGCCATAGAAAATCCCTATAAAAAGCCTTATTGTTGGAAATTTACATGTTTTCCCTTGAATGTGTGTGTTTTCTGTTGGTACTTAACTTTATCCTGCTCATACAGTCCAAAAACATGAAAGTTAGCTCATTTGAAGCCCTTATATTTGGCTGGTAATTGATCTAGGACATTTCATGGGGTACATACTATGGAGAGCATCGTGTAAGAAAAAAAAAAAAAACCCCAGCAAAAGTCTAAATCTTCAAGTTTGAATAATAAAATATGATAAAAGATGGGATTTTTCTAAGCAATAGGTTTTTTACAACCTAACCTTTAGGTTAGGTTGTAAAAAGGAAATTAAGATCCTGGATTTTTGTAAGTCTGATTTTGTACAAGTCTCTTTAAGAACATAAACCATGTAAGTTTTTCAACTAATACTGTAGTTAAAAAGCAAGCTTAAACATCACTGTACCAATATTTGTCAGCTAGTAAAACTGTCTCAAATTTCTAGGAAGGCAAGTTTAGGACACACAATGACACTCAGGGTAAGAAATAAAAAAATAAAAAAGCAATTTAGAAAATAATAAATAAAATCAATAAAAGCTGTACCAGTTAAACGGAAAATGATCATCTTCCAGGAATACAGAGTAACCAGATGTAGCACTGTCTGCCACATAGTGTGTCATGAAACCTCAGTGTGTATAGAGGGCATAGTGTTTTTGTGTATATGTTCATGTGAATTTGCATGTGTGTGCTGAAGAGAGGTTAATTGTAACTTGCCCTGTAGCTTTGCAGCTGTGGGCTCATCCTTTATCATATCTGCTTCTCCATTTCCGATGGGATGCTCAGCTAATTGGGTTCTGCTCTGTCACCAGAAGACAGATTATGGCCGCTCAATAGATCCACACCTTCCATTCTTAGAGGCAAGCTAACCTTCTCATGTTTTGCTTGCTGGGAAAATGAATAGGCTGGTACAGGAAATTTATTTGCAGATAAAAAGTAGCAAAATAAATTTATTATGTGAACTGTTAGCTGCAGGGAGTAAAATATGCCCGTACTTTTTACACATCATATTCAGTGACATTTGGCAACATCTGATGTGACACTGTCCTTTTGAGATTTGCCAGAAGTAATAGATAAGGATGATGCAGAATGCCACTGAGGTTGTATAACCAAAGACCATCATTTCGTTACTTAAAAAGAAAAAACTCCCCCATTAGAGAAAGAGGTTGAAAAAAAAAGAACAATTTAAGTTACTTTGAGGTCAGGATTGGTTCATGCCATTTTCATTCGTCTCTCATCAAGCATCTTTAACCACTGATTAATGAACAGCTTTTCATTTAATGGATTTAAGGAACTACTTTAATAATGATCGCACTGGATGCAGCTTTAGATTCAGAAGGTATTTCATCCAAAACCAGAATGTATTTTAAGAATCTTTAAGAGCAGATTTGGAGTTAAGGCTGGATGTGCAGGATGGAAGGGATGAACACTGAAATTCTGCCACTACAAGATAAACTTGAAACGCTTCAATAGTAATCTCAAGCCCTGGACCTCAGATGTCCTCCCCTAATGACCCTTGTGGTCCCATCCAGTGCCCATAATGAGGTGCCTTGGAAAGGGTAAGCCGCCTGAAGCAGTAGCCCCTCCCAGCACGGGGCCAGAATAGTTTAGAAGGAATCCCAGCTAAGACACCAACCAAGCTTCCGGATTATTCCTCACATAAGGATAATGAGAAGATCTCCCCCCA